AAATAACTACAATCATATTTCACAACCAACCTGCTGACAGCCAGGTGTGTGATCGCATTTTAAAGCAAAAAAAATCGAGAAAATTAACTGCAGACAGTTAAGTTACAGGTGTTCTGACAGAGTTTGTTAATTAGCTGAAGAGGAATGTGAAAATGGAAGTACACATTACACAGCATGTATGCGTGTTGAAGTATGTGTATAACTTTGTGTTTTTTCTTTACCAGGAGGGTTATTTACGAATAAATTCCTATCTGCACAGCTGAGATCTCTGACTGCCAGGTGCGAGACCCGAGACCCTGACTGAGCTTGACCCCAGATCACCCTGAAGGTCCAGAGGTCCCATTAGTGACTTCAGTAACGAACTTCACAGAAGAAGTGAGGTTTGACCGACAATGTGTGATAATCACATTAGTCCAACAACCTTCTTCACTTTTTGTTGATCGTATTTGTTATTGCGTCATTGAGACATGATCAAATAAACTTCAATAAAGTAGCCAGGAGGCTGGTTTTCATTCACTCTTCAGTACAGAGCCAGATATCGTTAGAAATTCTTTGAAGGCTGTCGGGTCACAACATAAATACTTTTCAGCTTTCTCTCTCAGCATCACGCGGCACGGGGAGTCAACATGGTGGAGTCTTTGCCAAGTCACCTGCTGGCTGACTCTCTCACTGTGAATCGCTGACGTAATCATAAATAAAGCCGGTGGATGATGACGAATGAAAAAAATGACAGATGTGAGTTTTTTTTAAAGACTTTTCTGTGTGCTCGGAACCGTTTGAGAGCTGTTGGTGCTGTGGGCCCATGAGGAAAATATATGTGACTCCGTCTCCGAGGTGAAGAATTTACTTTGAAGCTCACCTTAGGAAGTCGTTTTTAAGTAGTTTGATATTTTGGGAAAAACACACATTGGCTCGCTTGTCAAGAGTTAGACTTCGCTAGCTGGTTAGCAAACCCACAGTGATAGAGGGACTCCAGGAATTCACTGCCTCTGGCCATGAAACAGTCTGATAAATAACTTTAACAGTTTGGGTTTTGAACGGACTAAACAAATAGGATATAACATGTTAATAATTAGTCAGCTTTACAGTGCAGGTAAGCAGGTTTAGTTGGAAAGAGTCCGGCTAGCTGTTTCACATCTTTGTGCTAAGCTAAGCTAACAAACTTCTGGCTCAAGCTTCATTTTTTTTTTTTAAACTGTACACACATAAGAGTGGTATTGATCTTTCGGCAAGAAAGTAGTGAGTTATTTCCTAAAATGTAAGAATATTCCTTTCAGTTAACATTGATGAGAATTCCTTAAAGTGCTTAGGGGGGAAAATGGAAGTAAAAGCGTCTATGTCATGAAAACTTGCAAACTGCATCTGCTGATGTAGTATGATTGATTGAAAGCTCCAGAAAATCTGCTAAATGGACTAAATGAGATGGTTTGACATAACTTTGACACTTATATTTACGTGCATTGTTCATGTTTCAAAACTAGACATAAAATATTTGAAGGTCAATTTCATATTTAAGCATGACCCGACTCGTCCGTCCTGTCCTGGTTGATAAGGTCCAACTCAGCTGCTCCATGCAGGTTGAAACAGACACCTACTTGGATTTCACAGAGGTTCCTCATTGAAGCCGGATTAAGTTACCTCGTAGGGACTACTTCAGTTTTTATGGTCTCATTGTCTGGCATTGAGCGATTAAACCGCTTAGTCCTTCATAAAACCTGCCTACTCAAACACTTAACAATCCTGATAAACATCAGTGACACCAGGCTCTAAAAGCCCCATAAGAATAAAGTGCTCCTCCAGTGCAGCGAGTATGTAACCAACTGATCCCAGTACAGTTGTGCACAGCCCTCTTTGATTTGCTTGATCAGTCTGTTCCCCATTACCCAGCTGTACAGGTAGAATACTGTATGGGATCACAGACCGATGCAGGTATGAAGGACAGAACAAGTCTAGACATATAGGCCTTCACACTGTCTAAATGTGCAGCAGAAAATATTGAGGTGCACTTCAATGAGCGTTATGCCTGCATGACCTGGCATGACAGAATTATCCGTCAGAAAGCCCCTTTTCTGGAAGTTAAGTGGAAAATTACATTTTGTACGGTGGTGGATAGGGAGGTGCTTTTAGGAATTGACCTATGACAAATCAAGTTCGACATCAATAATCAAAAAAATTGATGGATGCACAAATGGCTGACAATGAGTGTGTTTGCCGTAAAGATTAAAAATGATGCCAAGTATGACATTTAAACATTGATGCGCTCATGAGGACAGGGAGGACAACTGATGACACACAGGGAGGAAGAGGGAAGGAGGGAGGAAGCAATTAATTTTTTTAAAAGGCAGAATTAAGAAAATTGAACTGCTAATTATTTGCACTAAGACTAAGAAGTACACAGTCCTTCATATTTCAGCCTACCTGCTCGTGAGGTGTAAAACACTGAGATGAAAAGCAACAGCAGCCATGTCTCGCGCACTGGACTCCATCGATCCATCTTATCAGATACGACGGCCGATGACTTCTTCGTGGCTGCCTCGCGCTCAGCGCGACACCTGAAGTCAAAGAAAGTTTTTTTGGCTCCGCACGCGAGAGTTTACAGGAACTGCTGCCTCGCGCCTGTGCGTCTCTCAACGCGCACTTCACCAGCTGGCAGTTAATTAAGAGCGCGCGTGCATAATGGATGATTTAATTTATGAAAAGTTATATTCATTAGCGCATACTCCTGTCTTTGCTGTTTTTCCTCTGGACGGACGGATGAAGAAGGGAGGCCAGCCGAAAAAAAGTTCTTAAATCTCGGAAGATCTTTCCCTCCTCACCCGCAGAGAATTTTCCTCACTTTCTCTCCTCTCCTCCCCCCCTCCCTTCCCCATCCCTCCCCTTGCCCCCTTCTCTCCCCCCCCCCCCCCCCCTCCCTTCCCCATCCCTCCCCTTGCCCCCTTCTCTCTCTCTCCTCCCCCCCTCCCTTCCCCATCCCTCCCCTTGCCCCCTTCTC